ATGAATATTCCTAACAGAAATACCAGGATTTAAACATTCTGGGAAGAAATACTTATGTGATTTTCTCCAGGTGATATATGAACTGGGGCTCAGATAATCAGCAGGAAGGGATTTCAGAGAGTGGCAACAAGTGAAAAGCAGCACAGAAATGACAAAGAGCATGATGTATTCAAGGAAAAGCAAGGTCTATGTGGTTGGACAGTAGAGTTCAAGTACATGTTGGAAGTGGCAGGGAGTGGTGTGGGGGACATGTATGAATAAGAGAAGTGGTAAGGGATTTGGCTAGGAAAAGGTACTTTGGGATCGAATTTTAAAAGGTATGCTAATTTAAGTAGTTTAGACCTAGTCATGTTAGACGCATGTTTTAGATTCTAAAATTTATAAGATAAGGGTATAAGCCACAGTGTTATGAGGACTAGCTGTAACGGGGGCTGTATCAGAGAAAGGAGCAACTGAAGGTAGGGAGATCTGTTGGAAAGCTAGTTGCAAAATGACAAAACCAGTTGTTGCTGAGTCCAACTCATGGTAACCCCGTGTGTGTCAGAGTAGAGCTGTGCTCCATAGGGTTTTCAATGGCTGGTTTTTTGGAAGCAGATCACCAGGTCTTTCTTCTGAGGCCCCTTTGGATGGACTCAAACTTCCAACCTTTCAGTTAGCAGTTGAGCACGTTAACCATTTGCACCACCCAGGGACTCCAGCAAAAACGATCAGGTCTGAACAAAAACAGTGGCAGAAATGATTAATCTTCTTAAACCACCTCTTTGGTCTCAATTCCTCTGCTAAAAAATGACGCCCTAACCTCATACTTGGCATTCAAGGCCTTCCACAATATGGTTCCAGTGTTTTGCATAATTCCAATATGCCCTGTGCAAAACCTACATTGCAACAATACTGTTTGCTGTTTTCCCCAAATACATACAACTTTCTGCCTATATACTGTTCCTTCTGTCTAGAATTCCCTCGGTCCTGTCCACCTAAAGCCCAACTCAATTACCATCTCTAGATTTAATTCTCTGAACTCCTATAGTATTTTATTCATATTCTCAACTGTCTTTTATATGTTTTATATCCTTACTTAGATTAAGTTTCTTGTTTGATATCCTGCTCACCAGATCTCCCAAAGTGCCTGGTACCTAGTATGTATCAATAAATTCTGGCTGAATGAATGTTACAACGGGATTAGAGACATTCGATTTTAAACATTCTCTTCGGGATTTACCTCATTTTGGAAATAAGATTATTTTCCAGCAGTGCAAAGTGCAATTTTTACGATGAAAAAATAAGAATTGCAAAAATTTTAAACTTACAAAATTCTTAAACTTTAAAATATGCAAATATATTGAAAAAATCAGCAATACTTTTTGGGGGGAGAGAGAGGGAGGATAGGGGCAAGGAGTGACTGGGAAGGGGCATGAGGGTACTTCTGCAGGTGATGGTATTATTTTCTATCTTGATGGGGGTTTGCATTACAGAAGTATGCATATGTCAAAACTCAGTGAGTGGTACATATAAGATTTGTGCATTTCACAGTATGCAAATTTTATCCAAAGAAAGTAAACAAATATTGAACTCTAGTTAATGGTATACATGCTGACATGTTTAGGGGTAAAATGTACTGATGTTTGCAACCTACTCTGAAATGCATCAAAAAAAAAAAAAAAGATGGATTTAGAGTTGAATAGACAGACATGTGATAAAGTAAATATAGCAAACTGTTAACCGAACAATCTAGATGGTGGATACAGGTGTTCAATGTACAATTTTTTCAACTTTCTTGCAATGTTTAAACATTTTCATAATAAAATTCTGGAAAAAATGCACCTCATCTTTAAAATGAAAAGTATATGACTTCCTGTTTCTCCTCCACAGTATTCAGTGCAATGCTTTTCACATTGAGGGTACTTTAAGGTCCCCAGGTAGGAGCCCTGTTAGTGCAGTGGTTCAAGCACTCGGCTGCTAACGGAAAGGTCATGGGTTCAAACCCACCAGCCGCTTCACGGGCAAAAGGTGTGGTAGTCTGCTTCCGTAAAGATTTACAGCCTTGGAAACCCTATGGGGCAGTTCTACTCTGTCCTAAAGGGTCACAGTGAGTTGGAATGGACTTGATGGCAGTGGGTGTGGGATTTTTTAAGGTTCCCAGGTGACGTAAACAGTCTGTACTGGACTACTAACCTAAAGCTTGGCAGTTCAATCCACCCGGGGCACCACAGAAAAAAGGCCAGGCAATCTGCTCCCATAAAGACTACAGCCAAGAAAATCCTATGGAGCAGCTCTACTCTGCCACAGATGGGGTCACCATGACTTAGTTTGATTTTAATATACAAAATATAATGGTTTAATAGCTGTAAGAAACAAAACTCCGATTAATAATTTGTCAGTTTGCAAGTTAAACTTTAATGACATTTTACAATTAATTCTACCCAACTCATCTAAACTAAATGTTATACTAAAATTTTGCATTTATATAGCACCTTCACTTATGTTCTCGTGTGATTCAAGAACCCTCTAAGGCAGTAGGGACAAATGTTTTTATACCCATTTGCAATGACGTTAAATGACATGCCAAGGCTAGCTCTAGAAACCCAGATCCTCTGACTTCTAACCCAGGTAGTCTCCATTATAAATCACACATCTGAAAAAGTCCTAGAGAACTATCTAAAAACTTCCCCCAGGTTTCACTAATAAGACTCATTTTATGATCTTTTTATTTACATTATCTCTGTGTATGGAATGGTTACGTAAGACAGTTTAGCTTTTGCCTCACCTACATTTTGACCTTTCACAAGAAAAATGAACATGTTCTCTAAGCACTGTTGGATATTTTCATAGCTAAAAGAGATACTTTGAAATTTGTTTTAGAGGTTTAAATAATTATTGACATGGAAGCAGTTTTAAATGTTTAAACACAATCTTCTTACTTTACAGTTGCCAAAGTTGATTCCCAAAGGGGTTAAGTGATTAGCTCAAGGTCACAAAGCTGTTAATGGCAAAAGCAGTACTAGAACCCAGAACTCCTAACTCCCCAGTCAGGGCTCTTTCCAATAGACCATAAGGCTACTACCGCTCAACTGTCTGAGCTCATTAACTCAAGTTAGTTTATATTACTAATGTCAGAATACGAAGACCACAGATGAACCAGTTAACCTTAAATCCAACAGTTTTTTTTTTTTTCCTATCCTATTTAAAATTTTACAAGTATTTGCATTTGTCAGGCACTCTGATCTCATTTATTGTAGGCTGCTGTTGTAATAATCTAGTCTGAGGGGCAGCTGAAGTGGTAAAGAGGGTGCAATGGTGGAGAGACCCCACATAAACTTCTCTGGCAACGCTAGCTGTCAAATAATTCGGTCTGTTTAGATTATCTTCAAGAATGCCACTACCTACAAAATGGTTCAAAGCACAAAGTTCATTACAGATAAGCTAGTGATTTTTTAATGACATGATTTTTGTATTCAACTCTATTAACCCCACAGCAGCATTTATGCCTACATTGGAACCAGTAACTTTCACACAACTTGGTCAAAACCCAGACCGTTGTTCTCGAATTCATGGGGTAATAATTAGCCCTAGATCTCTGGTGTTTTTCTTAAGTGTTAGATTTTCTCTAATGTTAGGAAGGCAGCAGCACCAAAGCAGGTACTAGAATTAATCGCCTCTCCAAGCGGTTCTGTCCCACCAAATTAGCAAAATGTACCAAGATTTTTTGTTGTTTTATCAAGTAAATAAGCTCTCCTTCATTTTTTCTTTCCCACAAAAGCTCCGAAAACCTTAAGAGGCAGAGTCTGGGAACTAAATTCTGGTGATTGCTACTAGATTGTTATAATTCCTATACACTGGGCCAGAGCTCAGCTACACTACCGCGGAACCGCCCGGCCTTTCTTATTCAAGGCCTGGGCGGCGCGAGGAGAACCATGACCCCCGACCGAACGGCCTCGCTCTCTAAGGCCAAGCCCGCGCCCCCCATGACCTCCAATGGAGCCTTGAAATGCCCGCTTCTTCCACAACTGGTCCGCACTCCCTCCCAGACCAGAGACAGGAACAGGATCCGGAGACAAAAGGAGCGACACGCCTGTCACATGAGGAAAACCCCATCACCTGGAACTCAGCGAACTCCTCGCAGCTCACACCGCCACTGGGCGCCGCCATATTGGACAAGCGCGAAGCCCCCGCCGCGGACCAATCACTGCGCGGCAAAGGTGTCCGCGGCGCCGCCTGACAAGAAGTAGCCGGAGGGGATTGAACCAGAAATCCTGGTCCCTATTCCAATCGAAGCGTGGATCATTTATTCCAATCCTGTCTTCTTACAAAAAGGGAAACAAACTTTGTCGCACCACTCAGATTGTTGAAAGAGGAAATCTTAACCCTCTCACTCCAGTGTCTACCTCCCATCCCCAAAATGAGAGGCTTTGTTGTTGGAACCACTAGGAAAAGTCAAGAAAAAGGGCATTCCTGGCAATGAGGGTTGGTCCAGGGGTTGAGTAAGGTGTTTAGTGTGGAAATGTTTAGTTTTTAAGAAATAGGTAAATAGAAAACCACTAGTAAACACACGTTAATTTCTCAGATTAGCCTGAGAGATACCCCCAAAGTAGACGAGACGGGGGCCACTGGGCACCATCATCCCAATTATGTTTCTTGATAAAGGCATATATTCATTGAAAACACTGAAAGAACTATTAAAATACGGGTTATAACTAGACAGTATTATTTCAGGAATTTACAGTTCAGAAAAGTTTTACAATTAACTACTTTTCTTCTCTTTTAAACCGGTAATTTCTTAGTTACAGAGCATGATATTGCAGACGCCCACGACTCGCAGACTCCACAAGGGCGGTCTCCCCTTTAATGACTTGGTCTACGACGCGGGCCAGACCAAGCGAGGTGGAGAGGGCAGCCCGCACGTTTTCCGCGTCCCGCACGTCCCACTTGTCCCGCCCACACGCTCCGCGCGTCAAGCTCGGCCCGCTCTGTCTGCCCACTCGCCAGCGCCGCCCGCCTCTCGCCAGCCCTGCGCTCGGTGACATTGAGCGCACCCGCGCCGCAGCCGCCCCTCCTCCGAGACACAGTGCTGGTCGGCGGAGTAGGAGGCCATGGGGAGCCTCCGCGGCCTGCGCCTGGCGGCGGGTGAGATGCGGACCGGGCTAGGGGAGGGTGGGGAGGCATCCTGGCCGCTGGAGGTGGGGGAATCCTGCGACCCCCCTCCCCAGGCCCCAGAGTTGCTCCGATGCCTACCGCCTTGGTGGCAGTAATGGGAGAGAGCAAAGTGTGAGCGAGCAGCTGGTAAGCAGACGCGTGGGCTGGCCCGGAGAAGTCCTCGCACCTGGCTCTCCATCCACCCAGTTACCCACCAGCTCTGCTTCCCGTCCCCTCTGCCCCCAGCTTCCTCTAAGCTCAGTTGTTTTGTACCTGCCATCCTTAGAAATCCCCCTTGCCCGATTCCTTCAGCTTTCCACCGTAACCTCGCCCATCCGTTACTGTACTTGGGTCTCCCTTTCTCCCCAGTCTCAACAGTTTACCCCTGCCCTCAGAGAAAACCTCAGAGTCTGAGGTTTCCTTACCCATTTAATGTCGGATTAAGCAAAGGATTTAAAGTCTCACAGAATAATAATGTTTTCTTAAAATGGGGGATAGTAATTCTTTTTTAAAAGTTCTAGAATTAAGTGCTTTGAATTTTTGGAGGAACGTGTTATGTAAATACAAGACCTGCAGTTTGTTTTCTTAGCAGACATGAGTGTAATGGGTATTTTTTAGTCAGGTAATGAGAACATAATTCGCCTTCTCAGGGGAACCAGCAGAGCCTTGATCTAGTAATAGGGGCTGAGAAATCAGGGTGTTTTCATCTTGGCTCTTTTCTAGGTACCAAAATTACTAAAAAGTCGTTTAATTCAGCTTTTAAAGGAAGGATAGCCCAAACTTGGCTTGCAATAATGTAAACATACATTATAAATGTAAAGGAAGCAATGTAAGAAAAATACAGTGAATGTTGGATAATTTAACAGTTTTGTTCTGTAGGAGAAAAAACCTTTATGTAGCTTATCTTGTGTCAATGGAGAATGGACTAGAAAACATGTCTCAAACTGGAGAATATTATTTACTTTCTTTAAAAGCAAACACTTCCACTAAAAAAAAAAAACACCTAAAACCTCTGATACTTGTTATTTTATTGACTTACTCATCTTTGCTGAACTAATTCACCTAAAATCTTCCGTATACCTTGTTACCTTTTGTAACGCTTTTCAACAAAGTGAAAGAATCATTGCTTTGTAAAAAGCTCTGCAGACATATTCAAGAACTTCACTGTTGGCACTCCATCAAAAGAAATTTCTTTGAGCGATTTAAGAACAATTTGTTTTACTCCAGATGGTAAGTTTTTAACAGCAGTCAAAATTGTTATGTGAGCAACTCTCCAAATGATCTGCTCTGAATGTCTGATGTTTTGTGAGCAACTCCAGAAAGATCTGCTGTCTTTCACCCACTTTTTCCCATAGCTGTGTACTTTCACATACAGTATTTGATTGATTTGTCATAGCAGCCTCTCAGGTAAGTCTTTCTCATCCCCTCCCAGTTTGCAGATGAGGAAATGAGGTCAGAGGGTTAAACGACTTGCCCACTATCCCTTGGCCGGAAAATGTTAGAGCCAGGAGAGGAGTCAGTGCCACCTAATTCTGAAACTTGTGCTCTTTGGGGTCAGTCTGCGTGCTCAGGATATGTGTGTAGATGTGTTTGTCATGGGTCTCTTGATATGAAACGGAAGAGTCATGAAATGCAAATTTACTTGTGAAGTGGAATCACGCATTCACGCGCAAGTGGCTTTATCAAGTAGAAAGACTGATTGAACCAACAACCTTAACCACAGGAGTGGGAGATCAAATAGAAGCATAATCTAGGCATAGCTGGCTTATCCAGAATTTTATTGGAAATAAGATATGTATTCTCAGTGAAATTTCAAATAACAGAAGTGCAGTCCTTTAAATGATGGACCTTTATGTTTAATTGTTTCCTTTGGAAACCTTTGCTACACTCCCTTAGCAAACAAAGTATAGCAAACATGATGTAGGCTTTATAGCTTGAGTTCATTTATTGTTTTGTAGATGTAGCTGTAGCTATAGGTCAGGGTTGTTAACTGGGGTTCTTTGACCCCTTCACATGTGATTTCCGTGACCTTCTAAAATTGTCTTGTATTCATGGGCAGCCTCCTTGTCAGTTTAATCCACATCCCAGAGCGTTAGAATGAAGAGATGTCTTAGAAATCAAATAGTCCAGTCCTCTGTAATCTTACAGACGAGCAAACTAAAGCACAAGAAGGGAATTGACTTATACAGGGTCACACAGGTGCAAAGCTGGAACATAACCAAAATCTTCTGGTTCCCATTCTGATTTTATTTTTACTACATCCTGCACCCTCATTGTTCTATTTGTTCTTGGTAACCAACCCTAAATGAAAACTTGCCCCATGTTTATGACTCCAGCTTTTGGTTTTGTTTATCACTGCTCTCTCAGCCATGCCAACAGGTTTTTATTGAGCACATACTGTGTGCCCAGTATACTATACAGTGTTTTAAGCTGTGAAAGCTCTAACATGAGTTGGCTACCCATCTTCCTAGGGCTAAATTTCGTTGCAGTGAACCAGCACACCTATCTATCCTGCTGGAGAGCTTATTCAGGACAGTACATATTTAGTTTGAGATTATGGAATAGTGGTGCTACGGTGGTGTCCTAGAGCTGGTTCCTACTGGCTTTGTGCACATCTCTTTCCAGTTCCATGTTTTGTGACACTGTGTTGGTACCTTGATCGACCATGGTGGGAGTTATCAGCAAACACTACAAATCAGGGCTTCTCCCTGCCAACCCCTTCCCAAGAGCAGGACACTGCTGGCTTCAGGACTTTAGAGAAAAGAAGAGTAGTATAGGTCAGGATTATCTACTGAAGGCTCCATTGAAATAGTTGGAGGAGATTGAAGGATGATATGAGCAAAAGGGAGCCCTGGTGGCACAGTGGTCAAGAGCTCCAGCTGCTAACAAAAAGGTTGGCAGTTTGAATCCACCAGCCGCTCCTTGGAAACCCTATGGGACAGTTCTACTCCATCCTGTAGGGTCACTGTGGGTTGGAATTGACTCGACAGCAACAGCTTTATGAGCAAAGGCAGGGGCGGTAATGAGTCTAGGGAGGGTGTAGGGAAGAAAGGGCAGTAAAGATAAAGAATTGCCTTGGATTTGGGTTGGGAGGTAATAGGAGATAAGGTGTGGCCTTTTGAGGGATTTGAACCAGATCAATTTGGACAAAATTTTTGCAGGTTTTATTGAAGCAGGAGACATCATCAAAGAAGCATTTTTTTTTTTTTAAATTAACCTGGCAGCTGCATACGAATGAATCACTACTTGGAAGAATATTACAGTAATCAGTGTGTAAGGTTATGATGGAAATGACTAAAAAGGAATACATCCAAAGGGTATTTTGAAGAAATTATTAGTGTGATTTTGGGGGACATTGAGTAATTTGAAGAAGGACTTAAAGACTGAAGTTCTGGGGCATTGAGGACTGAAGAATTGTTGCTCCTTTGTAGAAATAGGAAGTTGGGAAGGGATACTGGTTTGGCAAGGAAGAAGGTGCATTACTGAGTTACAGATGGTGGTGGGATCCCAGTTGAGGACATGAGAAAGGAGAGGTAAAGTTACAGAAATGAAGATATAGAAACCATCAGTGTGGGGCTGGTTATTAAAACAATGGATGAGTCCTCCCAGAGAATAGTGCAAAATAGGGCAAGACCTGAATCTTGGAGCCCTGTCATAGTTTGAGGAGTAGGACAGGAAGTGGCAAAGGGCTCATTAAAGTAGATGGATCACAGAGGTCAGAGATGAAGTGAGAGAATGTGATGTTGTGATGTAAAGGGACTGAGTCCTTGTAGAAGGATGAGATCAATAGAGTTAGAATGCTACTAAGGTGGGAAGAGTAGGGCCAAAAGGACCAACGATGAGAATCTAAAAAAAGTTCGTGTGACTAGAGAGAGATTAGTAACCTTAGAGCAATTTTAGTAAAGTGATCAGGGAAGGATCACTGTAGTGAAAATAAACCGTGGGTGGTGAGGTGAAGGTAGTAGATACATGCCACTTATGCACTCATTTGAGCTGTGAAAGGGAGGAGGTTAGTATTTTATTTATAGCCTTTTGACAACAAGTGAATGTTTTGTGCAAGGTGCTGGACCCTCAGTGGTATTGGGTTGTAATGAGCCAGGAATTCTCATAAACTACAGGAGAAAGATGTGGCAGTCTGCTTCTGTACAGATTACAGCATTGGAAACCCTATGGGGTTTCCTATAGGGTCGCTGTGAGTTGGAATCAACTCGACAGCAGTGGGTTTGGTTTTTTGTTTTTTTATATTGGTGCAAGTGTAAATCAGTTCAGCCTTAATGGAAAGCAGTTTGTTATATTTATCAAGAACCTTAAAAGTGTTCATACTCCTTAACCCTTACGCCCTTTAATTCGTCTACTGCCAGGAGTTTATTCTAAGAAAATCAGAAATGCCATCAAAAATTTATGGAGATGTTCATTGAAACATTTTATATAATAGTTAAAAATGGGAAACAAATCTAGCTGTAGGGAATGATTAAATCCATGTTATATCTGTGTTGGAATGTTGTGCAGCTATCAAAAATGTATTTTAAATTAATACCTTGGAAAAGTGTGACATAAGCAAGACACAGTATGTATCTTATTATGAAAAGTCAGATTGTGTTCGTGTATAGGAATAGGAAAAGATATGATTATGGGTGCTTTTATTTTTCCTCATACTTTTAAAAAATTTTATTGTGGTAAAATACATGTATTTTACAGTTCAGTCATATTAATTACATTTGCTATGTTGTTCAATCATCACCACTATTCACTCCCAAAACTTTTCAACACCCCAGTCAGAAACTCTGTACCCATTAAACAGTAACTCCCCATTCTTGCCCTTGGTAACCACTATTAACCTTTTATCTCATCCCCAAGTCCATTGCCTTCGAGTTGATTCTGGCTCATAGTGACCCTACAGGACAGAGTAGAACTGCCCCATAGGGTTTCCAAGGCTTGTAATCTTTACAGAAGCAGGCTGCCACATCTTTCCCCCAATGAGTGGCTGGTGG